GTGAAAATAAATAATGTGTAAACATTAACTTTTATTTTCACTGATTTGATCTTTTACCAGCTTGTTAGATAAAAACTGAGTGTTTACCTGCAGTGCTTGTGCTCAGACTGGAAAAAACAACATGTGACTGGATGATTGAAATCTTATTGGCTGTTTTTTTTAAGGTGAGACCCTCGTAGATGACTTTCCTCTGAAGTGATGGCAGAGTTCTTCCTGCAGCAATGAAAAGAGACAAGAACAAAGAATATAAGACTGATTCAAAAGACTCAGGATCAATGATTTTGATTAATTAAGTGAAACTACGCTCACTTTAACCTCATACACATCATTTTAAACACCCGGGACAACCAGCAGATTCAAACCCACATGTGTCTTATTGTGATATCAGACGGCTCACTGCTGTTCTCCTGCACACGGTATGTGAGTATAACATATGAGATATAACTCTGAAAATCATTTATCTAACATACATTTATAATACAAACATTTCTTAAACATTTTAAAAAATTTACATGTGAATCAAATTTTTGGCTAAATGCCCTGATACATGAACAATAGAATGATTTCATTTGTGCAATGATGTGATAGGCTGAAGTCTGGACCTCTAGAGCCAATCAGTGACTCCTAAATATATCTAAGGTGAATATTTTGTATTTTTCTTGTAAATAATGTTTCCTTGAATCACACAATGAGACACAAATATAAAAGCAGACATTTCAATATCATTTGTTACAGGATGAGACAAAGAAGTGTTTTGGTGTTATTGCAATGTTTCATCACAAGCTCTGAAGACGTTGACAAACTTCATACCTGTTTGTCTCCACCCTGTCAGCAGAACTACAACCAGAACCAGATCCAGAAGACCCAGAAAAACTACAGCTGCCATGACTGGAAAGATGGAGGAGGAGGAGGAAGGAGGATGGGAGATATGAGTGGTGATGGTGGTGGTTGTTGTTGTTGTTTTTGCTCTTTGTGTTGTTGTAACAGAGATTGGTGTCACAGAACCTGCAGGAGAGATGAGGAAGCTGGTTCAGTCAGTTTATTATCAGCTCAGCAGGTTAGCTTGATTCAGGAAGTGATGTCAGTGTTCTGACCTCTGACCCTCAGATAGCTCTGAGGAGATGATCCAAACTCATCAGTAGAACACCAGTAGAGACCTTCACCAGACTGCTGCACGTTAATGATGATGATTGTCTCTGTTTTAGGTCTTACAGGACGTCCATTAAAGAAGAAATAAGCTGCGGCTGTGCCACCAGTTTTCTTCTTACAGCGTAGAGTGACATCACTTCCTGTCCTCACAGGAAGTGCAGGGATCTCCAGGATCACATGTTTATCTGAGGAAGAGACCCACAGAGTGATGTAGAGGTGGTATAACAGCGTGCTGTTAGTCTGATGATGTAATGAACGACCTCATTACCTGATACAGTGATGTTGACTTCTTCACTCTTCTCTCCAGCTTCACCTTCACACCAGTAAACTCCACTGACTGGCTTGAACTCATCAAACAAACAGGATGAACCATTGAACCTCCCGAAGCCCCGCCCACCTGCTCCACATGACTCAGTTCCACTTCCTGTGTCCCTCTTCACCGTCCATCCATCAGTTTCTATCAGTGTTTACAGTGTTTGTCCTGGACCATGGTGCACTTCATCTACTCACCTGCACAAACAGTCAGTGCAGACAGCAGCAGCACAC